ACCCAGGTTCAAATTCCAGCACCCACATGGCAGCTAACAACTGTCTGTAAATCCAGTTCCAGGGGATCTGACAGCCTCTTCTGTCCTCCAAGGGCATTACACGACACGGTGCACTTACCTACACGCAGGCAATACACACATAAATAATGCATTAAAAAAAATTAAACAACAACAACAAAAAACCAAGCAAACAAACCAAAACAAAAAAACCACTCCCTTGAGCTGGGGATGTAGGCTCAATAGTAGAGTGCTTACCTAGTATGTATGAATCCTTGTGTTTGATTTCAGTACCACAAAACAAAACCCCTCCAAAACAAAAGTGTTCCCCCCGACATTCAAATATACATATCAAATATACATTCTAAGGTACAAGACAAATTTAAAATACTAAGACAGTTGAGCTAGGCATGGTGGCACAAACCTGTGATCCCAGTGCTTGGGAGGCTAAGAGAGAAGGATCAAGACTGTGAGGTCAGCCTGGGCTACATAGTGAAACTTTGTCTCATAAACAAGTCAAGAAACTTGATGAGGTGGGAGCTGGAGAGATGACTCAGCAGTTGAGAATGCATACTGCTCTTACAAAGAACTAGCGTTTGGTTCCTGTACCCATGTCCAGCAGCTAACCACCACTTGTAATTCCAGGGGATCCAACACCCTTTTCTGGACTCCACAAGCACCTGTACTGACATTGCAGAGACACCCCCCATACACATATACACATAATTTAAAATAAAACCCTTAAAAGAAAGAAAAAAAGTAAATGATGCGGAGAGCAGAATCCCATACTTAATGTTAATTTGAAGACAGTTGCTATTGTTAACTGAAAGAAATAGTATGAAGGGACTGGAAAGATGGCTCAGGGGTTAAGAGCACTGGCTGCTCTTCTAGAGGACATGGGTTTGGTTCCTAGCACCCACATAGCAGCTCACAACTGTCTGTAACTCCAATTCCAGAGGATCCCATGCCCTCTTCTGTCCTCCATGGGCACTGCATGCACACAGTGCACACACAAGCATCCATGCATGCATGCATCCATACAGGCAAAACACTCATACACATAAATTTTTTTTTTTTGTCTTTTTGTGACAGGGTCTCCCTGTAACCCCAGCTGTCCTGGAGCTCACTATGTAGACCAAGCTGGCATTGAACTCAGAGATCCACCTGCCTCTGCCTCCCAAGTGCTGGGATTAAAGGCGTGTGCCACCATGCCCAGCTTTTAAAAATCT